TGAGTGAGATCCAAAAGAATAGTACGTAATCAGGGCGGGGGGAGGTCGCGATGAAGGGAGATGAAGAGTTCACAATGCGAGGATGGGGGCGGGGGCTGTCTCTTATACACATCTAGATGTGTATAAGAGACAGGTATTAACACGCGCGTCTTGCTCTCCCCCCCCCTCCCCCCCCCTCTCTCTCTCTCTCTCTCTCTCTCTCTCTCTCTCTCTCTCTCTCTCTCTCTCTCTCTTGCGGATCTCTCCAAGCATGCGCCTCTTGCTCTCCCCCCTTCTCCCCCCTTCCCTCGTGATTTCGTTTGGGCTGGTGGCGGCGACGGGGTCGCCAGGTCAAGGAAAAAATTAGGGCCTGTGGTCCCTCTGCCGTACCCGTGAAGGCCCTCCCGACTCTTTTGGGCAGCGCCCAACGAAATACTTCTCTCACTTTTCTTCGCCAAACCAATGCTCGCCAGTTTCAAGACTCAGAGCCGCGACGATCTAGGGAGTTCACGCAAGGGAAGGCCCAGATCGCGGGCCGATCAACTGCCAATAACTGATGTTTTACACCTCTCTCTCTCTCTCTCTCTCTCTCTCTCTCTCTCTCTCTCTCTCTCTCTCTCTCTCTCTCTCTCTCTCTCTCTCTCTCTCTCTCTCTCAACTTGACATAAACAGCTTCTGTGGGCTCAAGTCACGATATCTGAAGTCAGATCCAAAAGAGCAGTCGACGATTCGGGCGGAGAGACGAGGATGGGAAAAGCAGGTGGAGAATGAGGGATGGAGGGGCGGAGGAGGGTTAGGATGTGAACATGGAGGACAGAGGAAGATCACAAGAGGAGCAGAAGAAGAAGGAGAATGAGGAGAGGACTTCAAGGAGGTACTTTTTTCCCCTTAACTTCTTATTTATTCTTTCAGGTCGCCGAGTTGTTGAACAGTGAGCAGAACTTGGCAATTCTATGCAGCACTCAGCCCTCGACAGTATAAAGTCAGATCCAAAAGAGCAGTCGACGATTAGGGCGGAGGGAGAGGGATGAGAAAAGCGGGTGAAGGGGGATACCGGGGAAGAATGTCGAGAGGGTTAGGATGTGAACATGGAGGACACTTATGAAGATCGCAAGAGGAGGAGCACGGGGAGGAGGATGAGGAGGACAGGACGTCGAGGAGGCACTTCTTATCCATTCTTCAGGCCGCCGAGATGTTGAACGGCGAGCAAAACGGCCCCGGTATCTCAATCTTCAAAATCATATGTAAATTTTCATATGGGACGCTGGGCCCGGTTCCCAGCACGTGCTGCTCCCCACGAATAGATTGGAGCCTTGTTCCCAAAAAAAAAAAAAGAGCGGCGAGCAACACTTTGCATTAGTTGCTGCCGTGGGCTCAACCAACGGTAGTCTTGAGTGAGATCCAAAAGAATAGTACGTAATCAGGGCGGGGGGAGGTCGCGATGAAGGGAGATGAAGAGTTCACAATGCGAGGATGGGGGCGGGGGATGGTCCCCAAAAGCAGATGGATGCGGTCATCGGGAGAGGATGTTGAGAGGTGGAGAGACAGGAGCGGGGTCGAAGAGCGCGGCGGGATAAAGAAAGATCGGATAATGGGTGGCGCAGGGGAAGGGGGACCGGGGTGGGTCGATCCGAACATGAGGAAGAAGAAAATCGCAAGTGGAGGAGGAGGAAGAGAAGCAGCGGAAAAAGGACACTGTAGGGAGGACGTCGATGAGTCGCCTTTTTTACCATTGGCTTCTGATCTATTCCGTCAGGCCACTAAGACGATCGAATGGCCCGCAAAAACTTGGCATAATTGCTCGTGTTGGCTCAACCTATCAGGGCAGGGGATATCGTGACTGGGGAAGAAGTAAGGGAAAGGCAGTCGCACAGGTATATCGGGACAGGGTGGGATCGGGAGGAAGGTTGCAATCTGAAAATGGGGAACAGGGGGAGACCACAAAAGGAGGATGAGAAGATGTCGTTCTCCTTTCTTTGTTATGGTAGAATATCCATGGCATCGGATGCCATCAAGAGGTACCTCTTGGCTTTGTCTGAGGCTTGTTGATATTACGCCATCGTGTCAGTTCTCAATGCTCAGCTTCGGGTGCTCCGCCATCGCTTACTTCCTACGGTAGGCAAAAAACACCGACTACAGGACGCCGAGCTCGCGCTAATCACCAGCAGCCTGCGCGGCTATCCTTAGCCCAACGCTGTGACCTCCGCCGTTGTCGTCTGGTGATCTCCCCAGGATCCAGACCAGCGTGTTCAGACTACAGCTCGGTAGTTCCGTCAAATCCTATTCACGCCTGAACTTGGCCGGCTTTACATTCCCTGGGCGGATGGCCGTTCCACCCAGACCATGCCGAGTATGAAATGGCCGGTCAGGGACTGGGCGGACGGCGGGGGCCTCCCCCAGACCGTGGGCGGACCGCTGGGTGCTCCTCCAGATCATGCCAAGGGCGTTCGAACCGGCCATAGACTCGGCCGGCCGCGGCCCCAAATGATCACAAGCCTATTTGTACAAACCGGCGCCCAGGGCCTGCACAGCCTGAAATAGACGACCTGAATTGACCTCTACCATTGGACCCGTTTCTTGAGGCTGCCAGTGGCAGCGACAACCATGGGATCTAAAAGCAGAAAAGGAGGAGTAACCAACGGAAAGGACAAACTGCTTTGACAACGCCATAGCCGGCAGGAATTGGTTTTCCAAAACATGGTGCCTGAACAGTAGACTGGCATCGGTTGATGAACATGACAAACTAATCCTCGGAAAGTGGCTGTTCAGTCTGTAGCTCTCTAGATAGTGCAAGTTCAATTGTTCCTGACTTTCGCTTCACTTTTTACCCTCTTCTAATTAGATCCTTTCCTCTTAGCTTGTCGCAGACCCACCAGGTGTGGTGCTCCGCCGGGGATAGAGATGGAGATGGAGGGAGAAGGGGGAGCGAGATGGCACAGCGCAGCTCCCACGCCAGACTCCAACGCACATACTCCAAAGTGTGCGGATGTAGAATGAATCGGAAAACAGACAACAGTTGGGGTATACCCCAGCGGACTGACGGGACCGGCCTGGACTGGACTGCCCCGAATACAACACAGGCCTGTGAGAACAAGCCAAGGGGCTGGTCTCACAGGCCAACCAGAGGTCCGCTACACGATCCTCGGCCTGTGATGGATCGCCTAGATACAAGCACGCTTCCGCCAAGAAGCGGAACTCTACCAAAGAAAAAGAAAACCTGAGTAGTCTAGGATGCGGAGCAAGCTCCATGTTGAGTCTATGCGATGCAACCTAGGATAGGAAATGTCACAAAAAACAACAATGTCACAGCTGACAGCCTAAGTGAAAGCAGAAGCAACTAACTAGCATACATGTCATAGGAAAGCAAAAAGTAATGACAACTAGGTCCTAGAATGTTGGAGGCAGTAGCCTTAGTCTGGAAGCAGTTGACTAGTGTATAAGTCCTAAGAACAGCAAAAGCAGAACAACTAAATCCTATAAATGCCAGAGGCAGTAGCCTAAGTCTGAGAGCAACAAAGCAACAACAAGACAACCATATGTCACAGGAGGAGTGTGTCGCGAACCAAAGGGTGGGATGGTCTCAGAGGGTGGCGAATGCAGCCTGAGGTCGATAACTCCTAAGGGCATCCACACAAAATGACAGGGAGACACATGTCATCAGTCTCAATGAGGGTAGGGAACTGGGAGCGAACAGAACCAATGACCCTTATAGATAGACCATCAGGGCGGGTAATGCTCGACTAAGGGGGTGACCGCTATGAAGGGTCGACCATGCAAGGGAACAAGGGAGCCTGATATACTGGGCGCACCTAGATGAAGCATGCGAGGCTGCCTAACTAGGGCGTGAGGGCCGGCAGAGGGTAGAAAGGTGATGGGTAAGGGAATCATGCAAATGACTCCTAAAGTGAGAGAAGTCGGAGCTAGATCCATAAGTTGGGAATATACCAAGGGAGAGTCCAACTCAGAGGAACCCAGCGAAGGGAGACCATCATGCGACATGAGCAGGGTACTGTACAGGGTAAAATGGTCAGAGGGTGATGACGTCTGAAGTAGGCAGAGCTGATCGTGACGACGTCCATGAAGTTGCCGATGACGTCCATGATGAGAAATCCGGAATGCCGTCGAGGAAGAGCCTCAACGTCGACGAGCTGAAGTGGCAAAACTGGAGTGGATGGAGTACTGAGAGGTCAAGGACGTGGGAAGATAAGTCAGAGTCGATCGTCGTATCGAGCAGGATGACGACGAGTGCGTTGTGGACGCTCAGAAGCATCCGGCTGCTGCTGAAGGTCTGCCTCAGATGGAGCAGGCTCGACTTCAGAGGTCTCCTCAGCCGAGGGAGAAGGAGGAGGGTCAGTGGGCTGAGGAGGAGCAGTCAACCCAGCACAACGAGCACGATCATAGGCACACACCAACATGCGAGCGTGCTCCAAGTGCTCGAGGAGCTCCCAAGTAGCCTCCTCATCAGGGTAACCCTTCCAACGTACGAGATACTCGACGTGAGGAGGGTTGTCGTTGTTGACTCGACGACCAATGATGTTTGAAACAAGGAACTCCTCGTGGCCGTTCACCATAATGGGTGGAGGAAACTCGTATGGTCGTCCAACGAAACGCTCAGATGGTCTGCGGTAAGGACACAGCAATGAGACGTGGTAGACATCGTGCACACGAGTCTGTCGTAGGTAATCAGTCAGCTTCACACTGAAGCTGACCGGGCTAGAAGCCGTATAAGAACCGACGGCCTGGAGAATGCGGCATGGGCCAAAGAAGCGATGCCGAAACTTGTTAAGCATGTCCGCTTCGTGCTGTAAGTGGCGGGCGTCGATAAGCACATCATCACCGACTTTGAATGAATGATTTATCCTCGATCGGTTCGCACGTGCTGCCATGCGAGTCTAGGAAGCGGCTATGTGCTCGTGCACGATTTTCATGATCGACGTCATGTGTGCAACCCAATCATCCAGCGCGGGACAACTCGTGTCGGGGTGCATCTGTGACGGTCGAAGGAAGTCCACGGGAAGATGAGGGTGATAATCGAGGTCGCAATAGTAAGGCGACATCCCCGTGGCTGGCAAGACGACGTGGTGGTAGGTTATCTCCGCGTGGGCAAGATGGAGATCCCACTGCTGGTCGTCACGAACAATCTTTCAGAGAATATCTCTGAGGGTCTTATTCGTGACCTCGGTCTGACCATCGGTTTGGGGATAGTAAGACAAGGAGAAGCGGAGTTGCGTGCCGTAAACCTTGTGGAGCCATCGCCAAAATCGGTTGGTAAAGCGCAGGTCACGGTCAGATATGATACTCAGAGGTAAGCCGTGGTCACGCACGGCTCAGTCAAACACGATGTCGGTGACCTCACATGCACTGATAGCGGCACGGAACAAAGCGTGCACGCTTCGTGAAGCGGTCGACGACGACCAGGATAGCATCATGACCGCGGGGGGTCGGAGGAGGAAGACAACCGATAAAGTTCATCGAGATGGACTGCCAACGACCCTCAGGGATAGGAAGAGGTTGGCGCAAACCATAAGGTAAGTGGTTCGTACTGTTCACCTCCTGACAGGTGGGACACTGCGACGTAGTCCTTCCCAAAGTCCTTGTGCTTTGGCCTGACGTATAGGCGGCTCACACGAGCCAACGTCTTGTGAAAACCTGCCTGGTCATGAAACTCTACTACTGCCCGGACACGTAACTGTCCAGTGGAGGAAATGCAAATACGGGGCTCTCTGGTGCCCTGTGAACCGTGCCAGTACACAAGACTGTTGTCCCCGAGAGAGTAGTTTGGGACGGTCTTGCCACTCTGAAGGGTCGCATGGATGTCACGATAATCGGGGCAGTGGCGGTACTGAGTGCGAAACTCATCGATCACCGAGTGGTGGACGGTGCTGACCGAGATGGAAGCGAGCTGGATCTGCTCCTGATCGTGGTCAGGGCACCGAGATAAGGCATCTGCAACCCGATTAGTCTTCATGTGCTTAGTGGTGAAACTAAACTCAGATAGGTCGCGCCACCAGCGAGCCTGTCGAGGAGTGAGCTTCGTTTTTTGAGAAAAGCCTGAACAACAGAGTTGTTCATGCGCACCGTGAAAGGTACCCCGTGCAGGTAGTGACGCCAGTGCCGAGCGACATAAACTACTGCGAGAACCTCACGTTCATCAGTGGCGTAGTTTATCTCGGCGGGCAGGAGATGACGGGAGTAGAAAGCTATCGGACAATCACATGAGCGAGACTCGACAATGTTGTCCTCGGCAATGGTAGGAGAATAGTCAATAGAAGGTTCGTTAGTAGCTGAACGAGTAGGCGTCAGGCGGGAGGCACTGATAGGGGTAAGGGGTGGGAAGCGAGGGATACGAGGATGGGAGGAATCAGGAGAGGGGGGGAGAATCTGAGAAAGTACTGCTCCTACAACAAAGTCTGACGCATCGGTGGTAAGGATAAAAGGGCGATCAAAATCGGGCAGATGAAGAACCGGTGCGCATGTCACCGCCTTCTTGAGGGCGCGGAAGGCGTCCTCGTGGAAGGCTTCCAAACCCAGGGTGGGTTCTTCCGGAGGAGGGTGGAGGAAAGGACGTAGGAATACCTAGCGTATCCCTGGATGAAATTACTATAGTAGTTGGTAAGGCCTAGGAAGCTGCGAAGCTGCTTCGCAGATGTGAGGACGGGACACTCCGCAATAGCAGTGATTTTCTCGTCGTCCATGTGGAGACCCTGGTCAGACATGTAGTGTCCTAAGAAATCCACTTTATGTTGGGCAAAGCGGCACTTGCTCAGCTTGGCGTAGAAGCCATATCTGCGCAAGCGGTCAAGGACGTCGCGGAGGTGTCTGAGATGCTCCTCAAGGGTATGACCAGGATATCGTCGAGGTAGATGAGAACGTACTGCTCCAGGATGTCCCTAAAGATGTCGTTCATCACCCTCTGGAACGTAGTGGGTGCGTTGGTGAAGCCGAATGGCATCACCGTAAACTCATAGTGGCCGAAGCGCGATCGGAACGCTGTTTTCGGCCGGTCCGCTGCAGCGACGCGGATCTGAGGGTAACCGCTATGAAGATCAATCTTCGTAAAGAAGCGGTTGTCTGCTAGGCGGGTGAACAGCTCATCGAAACGAGGCATAGGATAGCTGTTCTTAACCGTGTAGCGGTTGAGACCACGATAGTCGATGGGGAGACGGAGAGTTTCATCCGCTTTGCGAGCAAAGAGGACGGGTGCACCCCACGGGGAGTTGTTGGGTTTAATGAAACCCAGTCTTAGG